GCGTCCCCAGCCCCCGCCCTGGGTGTGTTCCCGGGGCCACCTGGGACGAATCTGCAGCATCACTCCCCCACCCCGCCGCAAAATGCTTTGTTGTGCCGAGGGGGACAAGAGCTGAGCACAGCAAACTCGTGCCACCAGTGATCCACTCCCTCATGGCCCTTCCCACCCCGCGCCCCCCAGGAGCTCCCACACAAGGTCCCCATGCAGGTCCACGTCTGAGGGCAACCCCAGCCCACCGCTACACAGGAGCATGGGGCTGCCCTTGGGCACCTTGCTCGGACATCTTGCTTGGGGACCCTGCTCGGGCACCTTGCTTGGGGACCCTGCTTGGGGACCCTGCTCGGGCACCTTGCTTGGGGACCCTGCTTGGGACCCATTCAAGCCCCCCACAAGGGGCTGGAGGCGAAGCAGGTCTTCCCCCAGCATCGCTTGCAACGGTGTGTAGTGACACGTACCTTGTACTTGGTGGCCAGCAGCTCTGTGGCCTCCTGCTCCTTCCGCAGATCCTCTATCATCTTCTCCTTCTCCTGCAGCAGCTTCTGCTTCTCCTCACTCACCAGGCTGTGGTCATCCTGGATAGCGGCTTTCTCCTCTTCCAGTCTCTCCTTCTGCTCCTTCAAGTAATTCTCCATGTTCTTCTCCAGGCCGTCCTCGTTGTCGTCCTCCCCTTCATTCTCCACGGCGCTTTCTCCATCCACCGCTTTCTTCCTCCGGCTGCTCCTTCTCCTCTTCTTTCCCAGCATGCCGCGTTTCTCCAGCTGGGCTTTCAGCCGGACGATCTCCTCCTGAAACTCCCGCAGCAAGGTGTCCTTGGGGTCCTCGTTCACCCGGGGCTTGTTCTTGATGTTCTTGGCCCTGTTGGCAAACCTGAGGGTGGAGAGGCTCTCGTCGTAGCTGTGAGAGGCTGGGCCCAAGGTGGCCACCATGATTGTCTTGGCATTGCCCCCGAGGGAGTCCTGCAGCAGGCGAGTCAGCTTGGAGTCCCGGTAGGGGATGTGCGTGCTCTTGCCGTCCACGAGGGCAGAGATGACGTTGCCCAGGGCGGAGAGGGAGAGGTTGATCTTGGACGCTTCCTTGGGGCGTTCTCCGTGGGCCCCCATTTTGCTCTGGCGCTCGCTGCCGGCCAGGTCCACCAGGTTGAGCTTGCCCACGCGGATGTGCTCCTCGCCATCCGGCCCCGTCTCGCTGCACTCGATGGTGATGAGGAAGATGGCGTGGGAGCGGGAGCTGTGCTCGTTCATGTTGGTGCTGCCCACGGACCGTGTCTGGCTCCCCAGGTTCATCACGTGCTCGATCTCCTTGACGTTCTTGGTCACGAAGGAGGAGAGGTCCTTGATGTACACCCCCGTCTCGGGGTTCTCCTTCAGCTCCAGCTTCTTGCTCTGGTCCTTGGCGAGGAGGTCCCTGATCTCCTCCTGGTAGATCTCCAGGTACGAGGCCCTCACCAGGTACTGCTGGTTCTGGGAGCGGGAGATGTGGGTGAAGATGTGCTCGAAGGAGATGGGGATGATGCCCCGCTTCTCCGGCTCCGCCCAGGCCCCCTGCATGGTGTAGGTCTTGCCGGTCCCGGTCTGGCCGTAGGCGAAGATGGTGCCGTTGAAGCCCTGCAGCACGGAGTCTATCAGCGGCCGGACCGTCTCGTCGTAGAGGTCCGCCTGCTTGGAGCTGGCGTCGTAGACGGCATCGAAGGTGAAGGTCTTGGGCAGCTCCCCCGGGGAGGCGCGGGGGTTTCGGATGCTCACCTGCCCCAGCTTCACGTCCAGCTCCAGGACGCGCTCGTAGCCCGCCGCCTCCTCCTTCCTGCT